ATGCAAAAGTTGAAAGATGCACCAGCTGGCTCATGCTCAAGAAGAAATACACCCCCTCGGAACAGTAGGAAAGACTGCAGTGAAGCGACTGACCAAGCGGGCAGCGCAGCACAGTGTCAAGCCGTTTTCCTGTGCTGTTGACTTGCTCTGGAACGCAGTTCTTGACACAGAGACAACTCACACGCTGCAAGTAAACATATGCTATTTGGGATGACACTGGGGGACACTACGCTGTGGAGCATAAAGCTGTAAAGACTCATTCTTACAGTTTAAGGTCAAGGACTCTCATAATGAACAAATGTTATGATATTGAATGCCCAAGACTCGCAGCTGCTGTGCTCCCTGTTCAGTCTGCGTCTTATCAGAGCTTTATATTAAGGCACAGGTTATAATGCCAAGTTAAAAGTATTCACAAATAAGAAACTGTTTCCCTTAAGAAAAGATCACAGTGAATATTATTTGTTTCTCTCAAAAACAGTGTGCATACTTGTTCTTTACAGTATCACAGTAAAGATCACTTCCTTATGACATTTGAAAATGAGCCAAACACCACAGAAGAGATGCTTTTGCTCAGCATCAAATTCTTAAGCTCACGTGTCTCTAAACAAAAAGCAATGCCTGTGACATAATGAACCAAGTGAAGAAGTTTACAAAGTGCTAAAGCTAAAGAATGATTTAAAGAATATTCAGTTACTGACAAACGGTGCTAAGCAAAGCCTGGCTTGGGATGGACGTGTTCTATTCAGTACGCACAGGGCTCAAGTGACTTTCAGTGGCAAGAGTGAATTGAAATCAGTAACACTTCTGACATAAGAATGTGATCAGAAATATATACATCTCTTTAACCCTGTGAAGTGCAAAATACTATCTTATATTTCAGATAAACCACAAATTCACAATATTTTCCATAACAAAACCTGGTATCAACAAATTAAAAAAAAAAAAAAGAAAATATTTTCACTACACAGCAACCTTCTACCATGAGGCTCCAAGGCTGGTAACAACAGCAGACCATTTCACATTTGTCTGTGGGCTTAAGAGCAAGAACCTATAAACGAAACAAAACAAATCAACCAACCCACACGTAAATTGCCATTGTTCCAGTCCTTCTCAACACATCACTTCCATATTTGTAATGTACAGATTACTTCCACACGATTTCAGCTTTAGGCTCCTAATGTTATATACATATAGAAAGCATAGCACCAAATTTGGTTCTGTTCTTCGACTAAATGTTGATCAATCATTAGCTCCAGGTTACAGACTAAGAACTGTTTTCTCATTTTCCTTAGCTCAAATGTGATCTAAATAATTCGTTTCACCATACTTCAAGAATTAAAAGCATGATCCCAACCTATTAAACAGAAGTCTCCCAACTGTCTTTTCCTTGTTGTAATGTTTGTCTTGCATAACAAGTCCCCTTAGAAAATTTCTCTCAAGCTTAACTGACAGAGTTGTCGGTACACAGCCTTTGAACGGTTCTTGCCACTTCACTCCTCTGGTTGTAGGAGTACTTAGGAGAAGTCATTGACCCAAGGTCTTACAGTAACCAGCTGCAAAACTCTTGTTTGCAGACTGCAGTTATTACATTTGTGTAAACACAATAAAAAGCCTCAGGCTAATGAAAGGCCAGCTGATACTATTCCACACCGAAAGTGATGCTGGCAACTGAATGCTTGCGATAGCAGTGCTTATCAGCGGGCCCACCAAAAACTGGGGCTTTGACATGACCATCTGATGGGCCCTCAATCTTTCTGTTATTGCATGTACCTAGAAACAGCCCACTGCTTACAAGAACTGGTGTGATATACAAGTATGGAAATGGGTTCCTCATTTCAGTAAAAAAGAAACTAAAACCTATGAATAAAGTAGGCTTGTCCCTTTTTACTGACACTATCCTTTGTTGTGTCAACATCTTAATGAGCACTGTGAGCTCTTTTCTTTTAAATTTTGCAATACTAATTACAGTATACAACAGTCTCTTTTATCCCTTATCCCTTAAATTGCACCATCATCTTTATTTTCAGAGATTCTGGGTGGCCAAATATGGAAACACAGATGCACCAGTCTACTTGGTGCTGATATTTTCTTTGCAACTGCCATCAGAGAACCATGGAGGAGACTGACCAGCGAAGCGTTCCCCCGTGAGCAGCAGGAAAATGGAAGTCTTTCCTGCAGTGGGCCCTGGTAGAGCCGCCGGCAGCTAATCATAAGCACAGCGGCATTAACACCCAATGAAGACATCGGCAGAAGAGAGAACAGTTCTTCAGTTTCAGCAAGGCTGGGGTGGCAGAGAGTTGCTCAAACAAAGGTGACTCTGGATACTAATGAAGAGAACTTAACTTACTGTATAAACTCTCAGGTCGAACAGGTTAGTGTGTGGTAAATTAGGGCAACTCCAGGATCAAATGACTTCTGAGTAGAAGTATTCTGGATAATAATTTTGGTTGAAAGTCTTGAAGCTCTGCCTCAATCTGTTTTCAGAGTTCAGATTCTCATCTACATCTAGGTTAAGACAACCTCTTTGCTCTCAAGTTACGGTGCTGAAAAACAGAATTTGTGTAATGTCTTGAAAACATAAAAGCCTCAGCTACGCAGCTGAGTGACTCTGCAGCCCCGTCAGAGAAACACCACTGTCTTAGACACTGGGGTTACTTTCACTATTACAAGGAAGTGAATAGTTGTTTGCATTTTTTGTGTCTCCCCACTACCAGGAACATTATTTGTTCCATAACAAAGTTATCTTCACATTATATTTCCATTCTATTAAGAGGTTTGTTATTTTCAAAACCAGATTATGTTTGTATTAAAAAAAATACTCAGACATCTCATCATGCCCTACAACTGAATCACTACCATCAAAATATTTAGTCATAGTGTCTCCCGCCTCAGCAACCATGTTTCCCTCCTGCACCCTACTAAGAACTGCATTCTCTATCAGTTTCCAAAGACTAAAATTCACAGATCCTGGTCCTACCATATCAGTTACATCTACCACACCGTTGGCCTGACGTTCCCATATCTCAGCTGGCACCTCAGACACTTGGAGCTGCAGACACGTCAGGGTTGCACCTTCCAGCTCCTTCGTGCTTTCCCTCTTGAACTATCCATAAATTAAATAACAGGCACATAAGAATGACTTAGACACATGCGATTATCCTATTTAGTAATTGAACAAAATATTACATCCCTACATCAAGCAAGACAATAAAGCAATGGAGGGTTCCTGAACACACTACACTTGAAGTTCAGGAAAATTAGTGTGTTTCCAGACGCTGCTAATCCTACCAAGTCTTATCATTTCCACTGTGGCAGTGGTTCAAAGCTCAGTGCATCTCCATACTACAGGCCAAATATATACAACAGAATTGGAGTACAGCATGGGTCATCTGTTTGCTGTTCTTGATTAAAAGTAGCACATTCAGATAACTTTTATCAACTCTACTTAAGCTTTTTTATTACAGTGTTCAGTTTAATAGTGGATATTCCTTGTCAGCTGCCAAGGTCAAAGTTTTCTATGCTCTACCTTGCATCAAATTATTTTGAAAGCTTAAACCAGAATGGTTTAAATACTTTTCATTTTTTACTTTCAAAAAAAAAGTATTTAAGTAGAAAGACAAGTGGTTTTCCTCACATGAAGAAAATCTTACACGTACTTTGCTGATAAACTGTTACCTTCATGCTTTATTATCTGAAATTAAGCAGAAGGATGGCCCCAGCATAATACCTGAGTATTTTCTGATGCACCTGTCAGAAAAGGATTTAAGGAAGAGAAGGAAGTAGGGCAGAAAGATAAGATGAGTGAGAACAGAATTAAGGAATATGTAGAACAAGAACAAAAATTGAAGGTGTATAAATTGATGTGAGAGATGTAGGATTAGATAACAGGAACAACAGTGGCAATGGCAGAGGAGAGAATAACAGAGGGCAGGAACTCCTGAAGAGGAGGATTTAGGGTTAGCAGAGACAAAGGAAATCTTTTCATACAATACTTTATGGTGTAAATGTCCATTTACAGCCCACATTTCTTGTATAGCACTTGCCAAATTCTTCTTGACTACTTTGAGCTAGGATTTTTTTGTTTCTTTCATGGCTTCATGAAAAAAAAATCTCCAGCCTAAGAGATCTGCCTTAGCACTTGAGTTCTGTTTTATCAGGCGAGGAATTTCAGCAGTTTGGACAGAGTGAGAACAAACCCAGCCCCCAAACACTGAGGACTCAGGCAGGCAGCGCAGCCCGCACTGCCACCTGCAGGGAGACAGCTCCAAGTACAGCTACAAGCAAAGGTCATGCTTCAAAAGGAAACTTTCACCCCGAAATTAGTTTTAGTTAACATAGCTAGTACTTCTAATCAGTTTCCCCTGACGAAAAACTATTAGGGTAGTGAAAAGATAGTCTTTTTAAAAAGGACATGGACTCCCACTTTTGAAGGACATTTATTATATGTTGCAAGAAGTTGCGAAGGCCTTGTCGTCTGTATAACATCACACACGTCGGTGACTGTACCGGTCAGTGCACACAGCCTGCCTGAAAGGTGTCCGTTTCCGTGAGAGTTTAGAGATTGGGGCAACAGGCACATATCTTTAAGTAAGAATCAGTTCAAGTGCATGCCTACAGAGCAGGATGAAGATATGCCCGCAGCACAGACAGGCAAGGGGAAAATAGTGTGGTTCAAGTTGCAGATGCGCTTGAAGTTCTTGTGGGTATGCTCTCCACTGAGCAGCCTGTGCTTTTGTGTCTGCTACTAGATTAACACCAGCCCAGTGCTCTGGTCACACCTCTGCTTCTTTGTGATCATATAAGCTAATATTTTGAACCTAGACTGTGCCTTTTAATCTATAGACTCAAATAGCTTCAGAAATATTAATTTAGCTTCATGATATCCCAATGAGATATGAATTATTGTATTATCTAAGAGAAAACTCCAGGCAATAACTTGCTTGGTTGCAAGTCCTCTACAGATGTTTACCAATGACATTCCTGTATTCACCATTGCTCTTCTACTTCTGTTTTTTATACTAAAAAAAGAAAAAAGAAAGAAGAAAAATAATTATTTGTGGGAAAGAGCACAGAACTAAAAGTAACAGTTCCTAATGACAAGAATTTACAACCCGCTTCATGATCGACATAAAATTGTTTCCTTTAAGTTAGATTGAAATTTGAGAGGCTTTCCCTCTACAGTATAAAATAATGCTTCTTGTCAGGCACTGTGAATCCAACCCTCCTCTCACACAGTTCAATTACCAGTTTTCCACTGAAGCAGACTTACAATCTCTGTAGCAGAATCAGAATGAGGCTTTTCATAATTGTAGGGAGAATAAAATCAGATTCAGGTACAGACAGTTATTTACTAGGCTGTAACTGCTGGGATTTGGCTACTGCTGTAATTTTATAATCAATGACTAATCTGTGCTTGCTCCTGTAACAATTCTCATTTGGATTTCATGGGCTGGCAGAGTGAAGGACTTAAGTCATTTAGTAAATTAAATCACAGATATTTAGAGCAAGCTGAACTTTTGACTTGTTTCATTATATTCTAAGAAATCCACGCTAACATATCATGCTCCCCAACCAGATTTTTTAAATCCAAGGAAGTCCAGATGATTCTCAGTTGTCTAACAGTAAACAATCTTCATTCTTTTATTTAAGAAATCAGATTGAGTGGTATCTTTCAGTGGTGTGACAGTAAAAAGGCATATCCGCTGGGTAAACGTAAGACAATCTGATGCACTCACTTTATTCATGACCCAGTCGGCATCTTCAATGGCTCTCTTAATAATCTGCTGGATTCGCTCAGGATTGTCTTCATCTGCATGAACTCTGAAACTCTGCAACATTTAATCAAAGTGTTACACTGACCAGCCAACTTACACAGTTGTCAAAATAAGGATCATTTCCAAATCTCAAAGAAAATATTTGATGTAAACAAACTGTTGATCTGAAAAGGTAAAAACATGTATTGTGGCACCTGGCTGTGTTATTTCCGTAACAAGTCTTGTCAAATGTAATTTCATATTAAGTATTTCACTCCTTTCATGCATCACCAGCAAAGCACACTAGAGAACTTCAATTCAGGACAACAATTGAAATAATCTGTTATGTTAAAACTAGAAAGACACAGGACAACAGGTATGATAAAAAAAGATTAATTACTTCCATATGAACAATTATATGAGACTTACCCAGCTGGGGCGGTTGGAGCAGGATATACATGTTAAAAAATGACCAACAAGGAACTAATAAGTCACCATCAAAGATGTGTTTAGTTCAGCAAGGAATGATTGTTCATTCTCTTGACTAACACAAGAATTAGAGATGAAAGCCAAGGAAATAGAAGGTTTCAGATTCAAAGCAAATAAAAATAAATTCTCCTTCACATACTCCCAAGGGTAATCCTTCAAATCCACTAATATTTCAAAGCTTGCAGAAAAATAATTTTTTAAGTGCTAGGAGTTATAAAAAGTTGGTCCAAACTGTAGGAGGAGAAAAACAAAAAAATCCCACAACACTGAATTCCCCCAAGAGAAAAGGAATCTGTTTCTCACCTGCCTGACCGCATGTCTGTAATGCTGACGAATATTCTCTTCAGGAAGTTGTTTACAGCATCGAAGCAGGTAACGATACAACTGCAACGAGTTCTGAACTAATTCAGCATTCGGTAGTGGGGCCATTATCAAGCTTTTTAGCTGTTGAAAATAAAAAACACACAAATCAAAGTACCTAACTAATTTTACTAAAAACGCAGAAATAAAAGTGTAATTTTACAACAACGCAAACAGGCTCAGCAAATTAAAGTTTAGCAGCCTAACCTGAAGAAACTTCAGAAGAAAACACAACATGAAATGAATCAGAACATGCTTCGTTTATGGACAGATGGCAGTTAGCTGTCATTGATCAAGGTATTAAAATACAAATGTGTGGAGCTCATGCAGGAAGATCACTTTATGATGGCAATATTAAGGTGTATTGCAATATTCAATTTTTTCTAGTTTTTAAAAAAGACCCACAGTTTAAGCTGCTATTAGCATACAAATGGGTATTGCAGCCCTGAGAAAGTTTTCTCGTGACAAGCCATGATTCCTAGATCCATTCAAGCTTCCAGGGCTTTCCTTGAGCATCTGTAAGAGTCTATCTCCACGATGACACTGCAGAATGAGAACGCTTGTAATTGCTACAAGTGGTGCTAGAATTTAACAATATTGCCTACTATTGGCATTCTCTCAGGAGTATCTTGAGAAATGGCCTGTGAACGTCAGGCTTTAACTTGAAAGAACATGTATAAATACAGGAGAAGACAGGCAAAAATATTGATAGTTTTGAAATGTTCCTTCTCTTTTTTTGGTAACAGCACCAGGAAAAGAACAAATCTAACAAGTTTCACCTCCATAACTATACTTACATATTGTAACAGTAAGTTCATCCAAGCTATATAAAGGGCTAATCAAATACTGTAAATGGCTTGTCATTTAACAGATGGTTACCATCTGCAGAGAACTAAATTAACATTTGGAAAAAAGCACTTTTACATCATTACTCTTAAGAATAAAAATAATAAATAAGTAACTGAATAATGAGGTAGGTGTATGGCATTATTTTAACACCCGTTATGATACTTACTCATCATTTGGATTTTTTTTTCCTTTTTCTTAAGTAATTTAAGTCCTTCTGTCAAATTTATTTCAGAACATAACACTGCAACTATCGCATGCCTGGGCTGGATGTTTGCATAGAGTAGCTCTTCTTGCCGTGGGGAGAAATCCCCTCCCGCTGTACCTGTAAAATGCCCATCATAATGGGATATGTACTGTTGTAACCTGTATTTTCAGTAAAACAAAATTCCATCTCAGTCTGTAACTAAGTAGATATGGATGAGCATAGCGCTATAGCAGTAACAAGAGCTATGCTGATCTGCAGTAGCACAAGAGGTCACTGAAAATCGGTAATATTTTAGACACAAAAAGTACGATTCTTCTATGTGAAGAAGAATAAAGAATTCTATGACAAAGCCACAGAATGTCTTATTCTTGAGCGATAGGCCTCTGCAACATTGCTTTACAGTGGCACAAACCCACAGTACAAAGTCATTCTGAGCACCGCATGGGATGGGTTCTTTCCTGTTCATTACTGAAAGACTGGGTGAAATCTATGAAGTATTGATTTTTTGGATCTATCTTCTGTCAAAAGTAATATCTCGTACAACGAGAGGGAGCTGTTCCTGTGGCAGAGTTCATCTATAGGAAACGTGTGATATTAGCACTGTCTGTACTGGCCCTGCGCCCACGCTCTTCAGCCAGGGACGGGGGCTCTGGCATGGTAGGTCCTATATCTACATACACAGCTAGCGACAAGGCTTCTGCCACAAAGCGCTTACATGGCAGACCAATGACAAGTCATAAGATGAGGCGGAACAAGGCAGATGAGCCAAACAGGTGGGATGGGGATGGGGAGGAGGTGACAGCGGTACGAGCCTGTTTTTGTGTAGCCTAATAGAGCACACAATGCAGCTCGCCACCTGTTCCCCCGAGAGCAACAGGCAGGTTTTATCACACTGGTTTTTTAAGGACCTGCAGAAACATCGTGAGTCACGGCTGATGATGGGTGTTATGGAAGCCTCTAAGAAAGGCTCTGATGACACTTCAGAAGAAAAAGCTTTTCTAGCCTCCAAGGGAAAAAAAAGATGACTGTCTTAAGGAAGTACTTAACAGGGTTACTATCGCGTGAGCTGAAGATGTAAATTATCAAAACTAATTCTAAGACATATAATAAGCTTAATAGGCATAAACCTTTGAGGAACATGTCAGGATCCCTTTCCTGCTTATCTATACTGACATCTTTCCTTACATCTGAAATAGGTTCTGTGCAGTTCATTTGTGACTTTACTCAAAATCACTTTCAACAAGCAAAGCCCTTTCCCCAAGTATTAGCGTATACAGATTCACTGCAACCAGTACTCAGAACAAATACTGAGCACACTAACTCCCTACTGAAAAATACCCGTAAAAGTTACATCCAGTACAGAAATCCAGAATATGCTGTTGGATTCAAGTTGATCTGAACCTAAACTTAACTTTACACACCGGATTTTTGGGCTAGATGTTTAGTTAGTAAGAACTGGTGTAGTTCCACTGACCCCAAGAACCTGACCCCGTATTTCACCTCTTCCCACTCAATCCAGTGAAACAGCCCAGTTCAATACAGATCCCAAAATACGCGTTGGGACAAGAGTCAATTTGTTGAGTTATTTCGAGGCTTTGATGTGTAAACTCATCATAGGTTTAATTAGAGCACAGTGACATAAGTGGTGCAATAGATTTCCTGTCACAAAAGCAAAGATCCCTCATGTGCTGGGAATGTATAGGGCAGCTTGCTTTGGCATAAAGAAACTAAGCTGTGGGAGAGAGCAAGAAGCCAGAGTCATATCAACATGGAAGGACTAAACTGATCAATGGAATTGAAAATGTTGTTTCACTACAGATAATTAGGAATTTTCCACTGCAGTAATTTTTCATAGGAAAAATGATGAGCTGTTGAATCCAAATCATGTGACAAATACATTTACACTGATGAATTTCAGAAAGAAAAAGTCCTTTACCTTCCCACAAGTACTGGACTTTCTAATAGATTCGAAGACTGAAGTTTCCACCAGGTCTAGTTATCAAACATATAGTGTACGAGGTTCCCATACTGAAAGAAAAAAAAAAAAAATTTCCTGAGTTCTGACACAGATTCATAGCTGCAAGAAAGCTACAAATTTAGTGACAAGGGTAAGCTTCACAGGGAAGTTTATCACCAAAGACCTGTGTTTTTCTGTGCATGTAACTTCAGTGTCTGCAATATCATTTCCAGTGAAAGCTTCACTGGAAATCTAGCATAGCACATGGAAAAAACTTGATGGCTATTTTGGTAAAATGGCTGTTTAATGAGAAATAATCTTATGACCTAACCCCTTGCTAAGTTCAAAGACACTGGGGCACTGTATGAGTAAAACTCAACAGTGAATAGATCCTGGAAACAGATAAGGCTAAATTCTGCACTTGTATACACCACAACTCTGGAGAATCCGCATAGTTACTACTGATAACTTGCCCCTTGCTTTGCACAAAAAGGACAATGAAGCATAGTAAGAATCTTCACTATCGCCTTTTGTTCTAAAAACACCCCCCCTCGAATCCCACAAATGTTACCATTTTTATCTGCCAAGAAAAAAATCCTTGACCTCACAAAATCTGGCTATAATCCTGACTAATAATGTAAATCTCCTTCTGATAACTTAAATATCATGTATAGCACAACAAACAAACTATCTAAACCAAGAACTGTTGAGTCAGAAATAAAATAATCCACTAATTGTGCTTTTCTGGAATGGATGACTGTATAATGTCCTAATCAGAAGGCTGAAATCACATTTGCATTTAGATAAAGCCCCGTTTAAAAAGAGACAAGTATAAAAGGAGACACTGAGACTATTGTGGCATTTTCTGCATTGCATAATCATTTACATTCTTGATAATGATATTCAGATAGTGAAGCAAAGGCTGACCAAAGCCAATTAATCTTGCACTCTGCATTAGCAAGCTTGTCAATTGACGCAGCGTACAGCTGAATCCGTGATGATATTGATATGACACTGTGCCACTGCTCTCAGATGGGTTTTCCTGCTATTGTGACTGTTTTTCAAGCAAATCCCTACGGTTCAACAGTTAGAATGTCGATCCCTCCGGACTAGTTAAACAGCCACCAAAGCTGGGCTTTAGAGACTGGAAGTGTTAATTAAAGGGCTGTAGGAGTTACCTGAGCCGTTGCTGTTTACAGGCTGGCTCCCCTTCCCCTCCCAGGATGCAGGCTGGAAATGTGTTTTCTTACCACTTCAAAGCATTACATCTTTAGAAGCCTAACTCAGGAATTCATGATTCCCTCTCACGGTCAAACCTCATTATCTTTAATGTACAGATTTTGCAGTCTCCTAGTAAAGGAGCACAGCAGCATTATGTCCATTTTGACCAACGAGGAGCCAAGGCAGGCCTGGATCCCACTCGCTTCGGCTACTTAGCAGATATAAAGCCAGCCTGGAACACTGCCTCGCCAGCTCACTTCCAAACAACAAAGATCCTAAGGTGTGGAATACCAACCACCAAACAGTATTCAGCACAGAATGGAGCTGCCTCAGCGTTCCGACCACTGAACCATCTCTCATGAGAAGCTTATCTTTACAGTCGGGCTCTCTGCTGGGGAATGCAGTGCTTTGACCACTGCCATCCCACACAAAACAGAAGATGGAGGGAAAAAAAACAAGAAATGGAGAGACAGACCTGTTGGATACTACTGTTTTACTGTTGGATCTGTGTTACTGAAGGTACCTGTGGGATCCAAAAGTTGGTACCATAGCTTGCAGCTGGCTCCAGGCTCTTGCTTCAGATTGTCTGTTATGTGAGTTGATCACACTGAGGATAAATTCCTCCATTAAAAAAAACCCAAAAAACAAAACCATAGCATCTCCCTGGGTGTTAGTATGCTGTGTTAGGACTCAGTCATGAGAAGTGCTGAGAGTACAAAGTGAACTTTGCAAATTATGATTAAGCACGCAAACCCTGTAAAAAAATTAAATTAAGAAAAACAAATGTAAAGCATCTTTTGAGTAGCATTAGCTTGGTTTTAATTAGGAAGATGCTCC